GCATTGTCTTTGCTAGGATCAAAAAAATCTACATTGTGGCACATGAATTTTTAAAGAATTGAGAAGCTCTTCCATTGTGGGATAAGAAGAAGTTGGAGCAAACTTTAAAAAATAATTTTAATGTAAATATTTGGGATAGCTTTAGAAGTCAGGTGGCTTTGCCTACCTTTCAAGTTCCATTTTGCAATCAGATGCACCTGTAAAATAAGACAGTCGATTGCTATGGCAAACAAATTGCCTTCATTGCTTCAATATATTACGTGGATGAAGGGAACTAAATCCACATAATTATGAGTAGATATGGTTACGTCATCAGTTCTTTGAAAAGGTTGTTATCAAGGTCATTGAAATAAGGTATTTCTTAAGCATCTTCTGTATGCCCAGTGTCAGGATGTCATAACTGAATGATTAATGTTCATGGGCAGTAGTGCAATATAAACTCTGAGCAATAGTGGAGATAGACCATTTCAAACAGGATGAGATGGTAAAATACCATATATTCAGTCTTTCTGTACAGAATAGTAGATTAAATGACTGATTTTGCACATGAAAGACAGAATTTAATGGTTTGAAAAGGAGCTAGCCTCACTATAAGAAAGAGAAAAGTCCAAGGATTTATCACATAAACTAACTACCCAGATAGCATGCTCAGAAACTTTTGATAAAATGCTGGGTTTAGTTATTCTGGATATCACCTTTAGGACCATAGGCTTTTTTGGGTTTCTTTTTGTTTTTTGTTTTTTAACCAGTCAAAGAAGGACAATAAAGCTTCAGCTCTGATGATCTTTCTTCAGGATGTCTTGTACTGTCAAGCAAAACAAAATTAGAAAATGAGAAGCAGATCAACTGAATGGCATTGAAGAATAATTCTCAGAGAGTATTCTCTTTCAGCTAGGACTTATTGTTCTTTTAAAAACATGATTTATCTGACTTTTCATACTCTGTTAGAGGGTTATGGTAAATGTCTTTCAGAAACCTATATCTCTTATTCAGAAACTGGGATATAAATTCTTACATTGAACATAGGGGTAAAGAAAGGTGAAATCTGGACAGTAGCGCACAACTTTCTTCCTACAACACATCCTTACTACACTTGAAATACTTATTCACCTATGTAAAGGAAATACTTAATTGTTACATAAACAGTGTATTTTCTCACCACTACACTTCAGTCATTTTTATTGGTCTGGTAAATAATTTGAACAATAAATTTGTTTCCCTCAGATCAAACCCTCTGTCAGGAGGGAGACCAGAGGTGTTCTTCCTGTCCTGATCCCTGTGAAGCTTCTTTCTGTGAGATGAGAAACAACCAGGCAAACTGCAGTAAGTAGGTCATGTGCTTCATAATGTCACTGTTTTAGGATGTTTTAGATTATAATGAGGATGCAGGGTAGGACACAGTGAGTAATACTTTAATTTACTGGCTAATGTGTGCGTGCAGTGATTAAGTTTTGAAAGGGGCAATGTAGAAACAAAAGCATCATCATAAGTACATATATTTGACATGGAGGTTTTTTCCTTCTGTGAATTTTTATATGTTTTTAATGAATGTTTGCATTTGCATTTTTTCTTAGCATTTAATGACATTCAGTGCTTACATAAAGTAAACAACACAGTGTAAGTGTAAAGCAGAACCTACCGGTTTATTTTCAAAATATAAAAAAAGCCACATGTTGCTGTATTTAGTAGCCTGGAGAATTTTAGCCCCTTTATGAAGGAGTCATTTTGATATTCAAACTGACAAAACAAATTGTTCCTCTGATCAGTACCTGTCGTAGAGTATCAGGGTCTTCAACTCTATGTATCCTTATATCTATGTCCTCTACTATACCACTCCACGCAAGGCTCCTGTACTAACTGTGCACTTGCTTCTGAATAGCTGTCTTTCCACTTGTGCAGTGCAGCAATGTGAACAAGTAATGGAAGTTTATTTGTCTAGGTTTGAAACTGGGGCAGAACTATATTCAAAATTATTCAGAATTAATTAAAACTTAGTGTTGTGTTAACACAGTCACATCAGTTCAGGTCACCTTGGCACATGGGCAGGCTTGGCTTCACTTATATACGAATGTATAGCTGTGATTGCTTTGTGCTGAGATTATCTCTGCAAGGTATGGTCTGGTACTATATGGTAACTTGTGTGGATAATGTTATTCCATTTAGGATGGAATGAATGTGGGAAGGTCAACTAGTCCAAACTCCATAGTCTCTGTAGAGCTGTGACTATCACCTACAAGTGTTTGTTTGAGACAGGCACCATTCATGCTGGTGTCTTCAGATGCTGCTGAAGTAAAGATATAAGATACTTTATAAAGAATAAATGCTTTACATGTACTTCTTTCAATGCTTTGCCTAAGTTTTTGTAAGGGAACAATCTTAAGTACCATGTTTAGCATTAGAAGGAATTTAGGCTACACCTTTGGTCAGCTAGCTAAAACTTCTCATCAAATCAGTGCCAATTGAATCATGTGGCCCATGACTTTTGCTGCTGATCTTTGAGCATCCTTAAGGTCAGAGACTACAGAGTCATTCTGAGAGATCTGTTTCAGTGTTATGCCACTCTCGTCATTAAAGTCTATTTTCCATATAAGTAACTGAAATTCTCTGTGTCACAACTTATGTCTTGCCTCTCATCCTATCCCTTCACACTTCTGAGAGTCTGGTTCCGTCTGCTTGACACCTTCCCATTAGGTAGCTGTTAAGGGCAATAAGATCTCCCCTTAAGGATGATCTCCCCTTAAAGATGATCTTCAAGGTCCCTTCCAGCCCAAACCACTCTATGATTCTATGATTTTTGACATTTGATATTTGAATTCCAAAACAATGTTCCTACTCCATATCATGGGAAAGCCAAAAGCTTTTTAGTGTAGAGGTTTCCTCAAGACTTTATGGGCAACTCTCTGTAATTCTTAACGGGAATAACAAATAATTAGTCTTTTGAATCATCTGTCTTTCTCCCTTGCTGGTCTAGTGAATATTTAATTGTTTATATACAATGGAACAGCAAGACAATTTGAGAGAGATTTTTCTTGCATAACATCTAGAAGAACTATTGTCTTTTTTCATATTATTTTTTTCTTCGCATTTTGAGTTATTTCATCTTTGGTAAGAAGTGAGAGTTCTCATGGAAAATTTCAGTTTTGACAAACCAGTACTTGGTGGTCCAAATAAATATTTGATTGGAAAATTCCAAAGCATGGCCACATTTCACAGTGTTGAATACGATGGATGTTCTCCGTGTATGATAATATCTGATCAGTTTAGGCTGGCATTATAATGCATTTACAACATATTTAGGATAACGGAACAAATATTTGAAGGGAGAGTGTAAAGAAGACAGAGCCAGGCTATTTTGGGACTCAGTGACAAGATCAGAGGCTATTGGCACAAAATAAAACATAATGAATCTCTGACCATAAACACTTTTTTTTACTGTGAGTCTGACTGAACACAGGTTGCCCAGAGTGGCTGTAGAGAGTCCATTCTTGAAGACAGGCAAAAGCTGCCTGGACATAATTCTGCACAACTTGTTCTATTTGGCCGTGCTTGAGCAAGGGGGGTTAGCCTGTAGAGGCCCCTTCCAACCTCAGCCAATCTGTAATTTTCTGAAACATCCCATTCACTTCTGTTACTATGTTTGGAACTAATTCCTATTTGATAGATACAGCGAGTTAATAATAAACACAGAAAGGTATTAAATACAGGCGTAATCTATTTGGTGATGTCTTGGGTTTGCTTCATTGCGAAGAAAAGGAAGTGGCAGTAATGTGAGGAGAATTGAAGTCACTGAGCCTCATATACCCCAAAGATGCAACTGAGGCATTTGAGACAGCAGAAATAGTTCAGTATTGGTGGTATGCAAGGATTTAGCAGAGAGGAAAAGCTGTACATAAAATGAGCTTTGTGATCATCAGATTAGAAGTAACAGTAAAAGAAGTTAAAAAAGGAAATACAAGACCAAGAAAGAGTGGACAGTTCTGCTGATCAGCTGAATAATTGACTGTTGGATCTTCTCTTAACTTCCTCTCAAAGATCCTGCTATGGGACGACACAGTTGCCACACTGTGCTGGCAACTGATGCTAGCAACTGGCTGGCAGAGTATATTAATCATGTTAAGTTATATTTTCTTCCAGAATAGTAAAATATTTGCAGTCTTTAGATAAAAAATCACTTTTGAATTGTACAATTTTTCATGGAAAATTTTCTCATATATCCAGACTAAATAAATTTAAATATTTTCAGATTGATCTCATTGCTAAATCAGAAGATGAATTTCAGTCTGAATTGAAGTGAAATTCTGTAGTTTTCTGTTGTGGTGGAAAATTGAAAAATTACATTTCTGACTTCCAATTTGAGAAGAAATACAAAAGCTGTGCAATTTTTCAAATCCATAATACTAGATCAGTTCAGTATTTGTTGGGATAAACCCCTATAAGTTGGACAATTTTTGTATATAGCTATAGTCTCTATAATCATATAGACCTGTAGCTGTTGCATTCATTTTGCCCTTGCTTATCATTCTCTTTATTATTAACGATGTCTTATCTGAATTAAATTATTAGCATGTAGACTGTCTCTTGCTTAGTGCTTGTGCAATACATAACCTAGTTGTCTCCATTCTTCCTTCAGATCTTAGTATGCAAAAAATAAAATTAAAAAACAAATTCTATATTCTGTTTTCTATCCAGAGATATTGTGCAGTCTCTGTCACTGGAGATTTTTTCAAGACCTGACTGAATAAAGCCTTGAGAAAGCTTATTAGTCCTCAGAGCTGACCAAGCTTTGAGCAGGACATTGGACTAGAAACTTCATGAGATCCTTTCCAACCCAAATGTCCAATGATATCTGTCTTCATAATTTTGTTAATTGCACTGTCAAGATGAGGTGTGTTATGGTAGCATTGTAAGTACACCAGTAGGAAGTGTGTTGCTATAAAGTACAGGAACTCTCAAAAATAATCAGAAAAGATTATTGATCTTTTTGATTTGAAAAGAAGAAATCTGTTTTAAAGGATGGTTTATTGTACCACATTCAAGTTAAGACATTGTTCAGGAAATTAATGCATATTAATAAGGAAATATCAGTCTCAATAGTTTTGTGAGGTAGGCAGAAGTCAAACCCACCTTTACTGGCATGAGAACTCATATGGGGTCTTGAGCTCTGGAACTTGTTTCTCATGCTTAGGAGGAAATTCCTTGACTAATGAATTTGTTAAATACGTATTTAATTATTTCTGCTGTATTTAATTGAATCTCACGCCATTTGTGGTTTTGTTTGTTTTCTTTCTGCAACAGGTCAGTGTGAACCAATTACTCTGGAACTTTGTATGAACTTGCCCTACAACTATACTTACTACCCAAACTACCTGGGCCACAGGACGCAGAAGGAAGCCTCTATCAGCTGGGAGTCTTCTCTTTTCCCAGCCTTGGTTCAGACCAACTGCTACAAGTACCTGATGTTTTTTGCCTGCACAATCTTAGTACCAAAATGTGACCCTCACACAAATCAGCGGATCCCACCTTGCAGGTACTATACTATACTTCATTTAATTCTTGACTTTGTCTGTCTATTAGCCTTTTGCAGTTTTATGCTTCCACTGAAAACGCCAGAAATTTTGGTTTGGAATTCTGTAGCAAATGACAGAGAACTGTATTTTATGATTATTAAATGCAGTTCATTACATGTGTTTGTTTAGCATCAAAAGTATTCAGAAAAAGGAAAGAGATGACAGTTTATTTTCAAAATGTATATATAGAATAGATTAGACTATTTAAGTTGGAAGAGACCTACAATGATCATCTAGTCCAACTGCCTGACCATTTCAGGACTGACCAGAAGTTACAGCGTGTTATTAAGGGTGTTATCTGAATGCCTCTTAAACACTGACAGGCTTGGGGCATTGAACACCTCTCTAGAAAGCCTATACCAGGGTTTGACCACGCTTAGTAGAGAAATGCCTCCTAATGTCCAGTCTAAACCTCTCTTGGCGCAGTTTTGAACCGTTCCCATGTGTGCTATCACTGTATCCCAGGGAGAAGAGATCAGCACCTCCATCTCATTGTCCCTTCCTCAGGAAGCTGTAGAGAGCTTTTCTGCAAAGTAGACAAGGCCAAATCCTCAGCCACTCCCCATAGGAGATTCCTTTCTCCAGCTTTGTTGCTCTCCTCTGGAGGTGTATTTAGGGACCTTCACATCCTTCTTAAATTGTGAGGCCCAGTGCTCCACACAGTGTGCAAAGTGAGGCTGCGACAACGCCGAATACAGCAGGATAATCACCTCTTTTCACTGGCTAGTAACACTTGCGTTTGATGTGCCCCAGGACATGGTTTGCCCTGTTGGCTGCCTGGGCATGCTGCTGACTCACACTGAATCTGCTGCTGACCAGCACTCTTTCTGCAGGGCTGCTCTCCAGTTTGTGTCCAGCATTACTCCATCCTAGGTGCAGAATCTGGCATTTGTTCTTGTTAAATTTCATGGCCTTGATGATGGACCAATGCTCCAATTTATCTAGATCTCTCTGCAAGGCCTCTTGTCCCTCAAGAGAGTCAACAGCACCTCCTGCTTTGGTATCATCAGCATCTTGCTGATGGTGCTTTAAACTACTGTATCCAGACCTGCTATATTGAGCAGGACTGTCCCCAAAATTTAATGCAAAGGAACAGCACTGGTGACTAGTCACCAGTCAGATGTAGCACTTTGCACTAGGGCTCTTTGAGCTCTGCCCTTCATCCAGTTCTTTAGTCAGTGCACTGTGAACCTGCTGACTCTAGTGTTGGACAAGTTGACTAGAAGGATATTGTGAGCTTTGTATGAAGCATTTTCCATTTCTGTGTGTTTGCACCACTATAAAGGGTATTTAAACATAGAATCAATTAATTTATTTGGAACACTAGCATTTGTAATAGTTCCTTACATTAGTACATGACTGTGAAAAGTTCTGTCTAATTGCTATTGACAGCTGACATTTTAATGCATGTTTGCCTTTCTAAATTAGGAGTGCCACATCATTCTGAATTACTGACTAACTTATTTTTTTTACTTGTCAGATTCTACCATCCTCATCGAGTAACATCACTGTACTTTTTAGAGCCTGTATTTGTTCAAAAGAGACTGTGTTCTGTAAATCTTGTGCTTTGGTAGCAGCAATTGTTGCAGATTAGGAGAGCTAATAAACCTGAGCAGCAGGCAGAGCTCTTTGAGCTACTGGCTGCTAGAGCCTTCTCATACTGTATTTCTGCCTCTTTTATTGGGCCTACCTTGACAGTATTTATCAATTAACATTTACTGCATTGAAAGAAAAGTGTACTGAAAATTGCAATGCGTGTCCTAAAATTCCCTTGCTAGGGATTATTAACTTAGAGTATCTCAGAATTTCTAAGACATTAACTCAGTTACTTTGTGCAATTCCATTTTGTCTCCTCAGGACATTATGTGTACAGTCTAAGGAACGCTGCGAGGCTGTTCTTGGGATTGTAGGTCTGCAGTGGCCAGAGGATACAGACTGCACTCAGTTTCCAGATGAGAACTCAGACAATCAAACTTGTCTAACACCAGATGAAGATGTAGAAGGTATCTCCTATACATATAACAGCAAATTAAAGTTTTAAATAGGTTCCCAAGTTCATACCTTCTTTTTAATTATAATATTTAAACTGTGGAAATTATTCCTAACTGAGTTTCATGGAATTTGAATACCTGAAGTTTGCAGATAAGAGGAAATTTTCATAAGTCTGTTTGAAGGAAGGTTCAATTACCCTCGATCTGTGAAAGTCAATGTTTTGAGATTTGCTGCCAGCACAGCAACTGCTTGCTTGTTATAATATTTCAATTTTTTATCTTCTTAGATGATCTAATAATGTTTTTCTAAGCAGGAGGTAGACCCTTGACAGTCTCTAAAAAGCTGATTCACTGTTGTTGCCAATCTTAGCTCCAAAACAGATATTCCTGGACAATCAAAGAAAAAGGAGGAGGAGTTAGTATTCTTTGAGAAAAGGTCTAATTAATTCAGAGGTCTTATCGAAGTTCTTTTGGGTTCACTTACTACGAGAATTTTATGCTTCTTCTATGCCTGCATTCTACTGACTACCAGTGTTGGTTAGAAAGTCTTTCGTGGGAAGTGTAAATATTTTGTGGAAAAGCACATGTAACAAAAGAAATTAAGCGTCTGAGAACATTTAAAATGTTTGTGATTATGATGTATAAGTGATTTTCCAACTTAAGCAGTAAATAACAGAGTTATTACAATGTGCTGAATTCCTTAACTTCTCTTCCAGTTGGTGTTGAATCCAAGAATACCACTGGCCAAGACAATAGGCATTATAAACTCAGTTATTTTCATAATGAACTATTCTTAAATGTTGGCAGTAAAGTTCACATACCTTTAATCATTAGAATGTAATTTTCTAAGGCTCCCAGTTTAACTGATGACATTTCTGATACAACTGTTTATTGAATGTTAAAATTTACCCAAGGAACTACATCTGAGGGATTTTTCAGGAAGGAAAAAAAGAAGGCAACATATGATGGAGGTTGTACATCAAAGTCAGTTACATGCATGATGTGAAAAAATGAGTGGGTTTATCAAAACCGCCTAAATAAAGCTTTTTCATAGAATCATAGAAATACAGAATAACTTGGGTTGGGGGGGACCTAGTGCCAGAAGGGATCATCTAGTTAACCCCCCCCCTGCCATGGGCAGAGATGTCTTCCACTAGACCAGGTTGCTCAGAGCCCCATCCAACCTGGTCTTGAACACTTACAGGGATCAGACCTCTCCAGGTTCTCTGGGCAACCTGTTGCAGTGTCTCAACACCCTCACAGTAGTGAATTTCTTCCTAATATCTAATCTAAAGCTACTCTCAGTTTGAAGCCATTCCCTCTTGTTCTGTCACTACATACCCTTGTAAAACATTCCTCTCCATCTTTCTTGAAGGCTCTCTTCAGGTACTGAAGGCTGCAATTAGGTCACCCCAAGGCCTTCTCTTTTCCAGGCTGAACAATCCCAATTCTCTCAGCTTTCCTCACAGGAGAGGTGGTCCATCCCTCTGATCAACCTGGTGGCCCTCCTCTGGACTTTCTCCAGCAGCTCAATGTCCCTCCTGTACTGGGGACCCAGAGCTGGATGCAGCACTGCAGGTGGGGTCTCACAAAAGCAGAGTAGAGGAGAAGAATCATCTCCCTCGACCTCCTGCCCACACTGCTTTGGATGCAGCCCAGGATACAATTGGCTTTCTGGGCTGCAAGTGCACATTGCTGGGTCACGTCCAGCCTCTCATCCACCAGCACCCCCAAGTCCTTCTAGGCAGGGCTGCTCTCAATCCATTCATCCTCCAGCCTGTGTTGATACTGGGGGTTGCCCTGACCCAGGTGCAGCACTTTGTACTTGGTCTTCTTAAACTTCATGAGATTCCCATGGACCCGCTTCTCAAGCTTGTCTGGGTTCCTCTGGGTGGCATCCCATCCTTGAGGTCTGTCAACTGCACCACTCAGTGTTGTGTCATCTGAAAACTTGCTGAGGGTGCACTTACTCTTTTCATCCATGTCATTAGTGAGGATATTAAATAACACTGGTCCTAGTAAGGACCCCTGAGGGATACCACTTGTCACTGATATCCATTGGGACTCTGAGCCATTGCCCACTGCCCTCTGGATGTGACTGTTCAACCAGTTCCTTAACTACCTAACAGTCTACCCACCAAATCCATCTCTCTTGAATTTAGAGAGGAGGATGTTTTAGGAGACCGTGTCAAAGGCTTTACACAAGTCCAGATAAATAACATCTGCAACCCTTCCCTTGTCCACTGATGTAATGACTCCATGGTAGAAAGCTACTAGGTTGGTCAGGCAGGACTTGTTCTTGGTGAAGCCATGCTGGTGTCTTGAATCACCTCATCCTCCATGTGCCTTAGCATGGTTTCTAAGAGAATCTGTTCCATGATCTTCCCAGGCACAGAGGAGAGGCTGGCAGGTCAGGGTCCTCTTTCTACCCATTTTAAAGATAGGTACCTCAAGCTTCACCTGACTGCTAAGACTTTTCTAATGTCATGAAAAGTGGCTTGGCAACTATATCAGCCAGTTCCCTCAGAACTCTGGGATATATCTCATCGGGTCCCATAGACTTAGGTACATTTCTCAGGTCATCATGAACCTGATCTTTACTTAGATTTGGAAGCATTTTTCTGCCCCATCCTCATCTTGCTGTCCCTCTACTTGAGAGGTGTGCAAGGAGAGGTTACCATTGAAGACTGAGGCAAAAAAGTTGTCGAGTAAGTACTCGACAACTTCATCCTTCTCTTCATCCATTGTTAACAGTTTATCAGCATTGTTTACTGTGGGAGGTTACACCTTCTTTGACCTTTTCTGGTTAACATACCTGTAGAAGCTCTTTCTGTTATTCTTTGCATACCTTGCCAGGTTCAGTTCCAGCTTCACCTTGGCCTTCCTCTCCCCATCCCCACACAGCATAACTTCATCTCTATATTCTTTCTAAGTTACCTGTCCTTGTTTCCACTGCCTGTGCATTTGCTTCTTTTCCTTTAGTTTGACCAGCAGTTCCCTACTCAGCCATGCCAGTCTCTTGCCTTCCTTGATGGATTTCTTGCTCCTGGGGATTGCTAGCTCTTGCACTCAGTGGAAGACTTCCTTAAAGATCTTCCAGCTCTCTTCTGCTCTCTTGTCCCAGAATGGTACTCTAAGATGAGGCACAAGCAAGGGTTAATTAGTGGATATTTATAGGTGGTTTTATTAATTTGAATAAACATGAAATTGTCAATTTTTTTTTATCCTGAGGATATGTCTTTATATATTTCTTATATTCATTTCGATGCATCTCAAAACACCACAGTAGTGAGAAGAGCGGCTAGAAAATCCATACTCTCAACCTAAATGTTGTATGCCAGTTATTTGTCAAAGCAGTGAAATCTGACAGAGGGCAGCATGTGAGGGAGAGCTCTGCAACACATTGTTCCATCCCATTCACAGCTCAATCATTAAGTGTCTTGTTTGCTACATAGTTCCAGTCTAGTATCGCACAAGCTTTTTTTTTCATTTACCCTTCCAAAACAGCCACAGTGATAAGTGCCCATGTCATGATTAAACTTGAGCTTATAGAGAATTGTTTCTCCCTGTTTCTTGTCATTGACAGAATGCTCACCCAGTCACTTCAAGTGCCGTTCTGGGAGGTGTGTCCTGGCATCCAGGAGATGTGATGGTCAAGCTGACTGTGAGGATGATAGCGATGAGGACAGCTGTGGTAAATAAATTTAACGAGTTGGAATGGAGGGTAGCTGCAGCATTAGAAAATGAGTTTTGTTTTTCCTTCAGTGTTGTTTTTTTTTAAGACAGTTTCAGTAAAAATACTTTAACAAGAATCCTTCTTGATCAATGTGAATACAACTTAACGATATTTGATAATTCAGATTCTGCTAACCATATTCCAGGATGTTTGAGTATTCCTTCAATAATCAAGCTAAAAACATTCTGCAGATTTAATTCTTTTAACATTGCTGGAGATTCTACTGATAACTCCCTGGCAGATTAAATCTTGAATCCATAAATGTAGTTTCAAATTTATACATGACAATGTTTTCGCTATGATGTATCAACAAAAGGTCTGTGTTGCTGAAGTGGACTCTGTACTGCAAGGTCAAGAATTACATGTTTTTTCAGATTGATCAACTTCAAGCTCTAAGTGCAAGCACAGAACCACAAAGTTTATTCCCCAATATGTTTCTGAGTTTACTTAGAGTAGAGAAGCTTTTGACTTTTAACCAAAGGGGATGTATTGAGCTTGAGAATAATCAACAAATCTCTTGGTCACTGTGTATCCTTGCACATGCTGGCAGGAGAATTTTGAGAGGGAAAAAGCAGTTTAAACTGTTTCTTTATGTGACTAAAGGGTAGCCTCCATGGAGGTCTACATGCACACCTGGTATCTCTAGGGGCAAAGAGAATAATTATGCATCGCTAAGGATTTAGAGAAGAGATGTGCATATAAGTAAAGATTGAAAAACATTCCAGCAGAGCAGGGCTAAGGTGCACAAGCTGTTTTTTTTCTTTAACAGAGAGCGGGTTAAGATGATAGCACAGTTTATATGAGAAACAAAACTATGGCAGTAAGAAAGTTTCTACTCAGATGCACAAAAATAAGATAAAATCAAATCCAAAACCAGAAAGCTGAAACTAGGCTAAAATTCAAGCTTGTCAGCTCCATGGAGTGCTTATCTTCTAAAAGCAGGTTGTTTTAATGTTTGCAGTAATCAAGGGGTTATTTATCACTAAGGTGTGATGTGTTCTCAGTCTCCGGGAGTTTCCAAATCACGCTTGTATTCTCTCTCCTCTATCTTTCTTTCTTTCTTTCTTTCTTTTTTCTTTTTCTTTCTTTCTCTTTTTTTCTTTCTTTCTTTCTTTCTCTTTTTTCTTTCTTTCTTTCTTTCTTTCTTTTTCTTTCTTTCTTTCTTTCTTTCTTTTCTTTCTTTCTTTCTTTCTTTCTCTCTCTTTTTCTCTCTCTTTCTCTCTCTCTTTCTTTTTCTTTCTTTCTCTCTCTCTTTCTCTCTCTCTTTCTCTCTCTTTCTCTCTCTCTTTCTCTCTCTCTTTCTCTCTCTCTTTCTCTCTTTCTTTCTTTTTCTTTCTTTCTCTCTCTCTTTCTCTCTCTCTTTCTCTCTCTCTTTCTCTCTCTTCTTTCCTTACTTCTTTCCTTCTTTCTTTCCCCTCCCTCTGTAAAAAGAAAGAAAGAAAGCTCTCTGAAATACAATTTAATACTTGGTGATCCTCGTTTGGATTACGAAGGAAAGTCAGAGGTGATGAGTGAGTCTTTCAGAGTTTGTCATCTCTTTACCTTTGAATCAATTGTCCTCCCTGACAAACATTCTTTGTTGCCACCACTTTTGAACTCCTTAGAAAACTAATTGTTATGTGTCTTTTAGCATAATTTTTTTCTCCTAGACATTAACATTTGAAATATTGTTCTAATATGTAACATTCATTTCTTGAGTGGACCTCTCTCTGTCTCTACAGTCTAGACAGAATGTGACAAGCAATCACCAGAATTCTTATCAGTTTCTATAAATATGGAAGACTGTATCTGCTAGGAAATTACTGCTGTCAGCGTGACATTACATTGACCAGGGGTAATACTGTTATTGAAGAACAAAAAGTCCTTGTAGAGCTCCAGAAGTAACTCTGACTCATTCATATTCCATGTGTGCAGGACAAAATCAAAAGTTGATGATCTTATCATGTGTAAATTGCTAGCTCAAATTTTATTAGATTTATTCTTTGGAGTTGGTTTTATAACATTAAGTAACACAGCATTTAATTTAAAAACCTTGTATTTGAAGTGCCTTAAATGATAGGCATAGAACAACCTCACAGTGCAGGGAGAAGGCAGTTGGAAAAGAGTAGCTACAGCTCTCATATGCTTAAAAAAAATGTAAGTCCAAAAGATGTAAGTAAGAACAGTCCAAAGGCAATGTGGTATACTCTACCCATGCAGAGCAGAGCTGTATTCATCACCCACTGTCTTCTTCTGTTGAGTCCCTGCCATACTTTCTTGTGATCTTTGTGACAGAAAATCTCACCCATGCAATTGCAGTTAAATCCTAGGATTTACTTGTCATTTAAACTGGGATTTGGGGGAAAAATTAATCCAGATTTCTGATGATGAGATTTCTGAGTGCATTTCAGTAAAGTGTAGGGAAAGTAATTTCTGAAAAATACTATGAAAGACATCACAAGAGTTTGTGGTATTAAATATAGCTGATTGTAATTGCTTGTATTAATTTGCTGGCTGCTGAACAATACCCCTGACAGGGAGCAGAAGACCGTCCTACAACTACTAAAGAAATTGAGGACATAACTTTCAAAACCAATACTGTCTTTCACTATTTTCTGCAGTCTGGATGCTGACTGTAGTATTTTAGTTGAGAGAAAAATGTGGTGGTCTTAACATTAATGACTTAATCTTAATTGCATGGGAAATGTATACATGAATAACAAATGGTAACTTCCTTCATATTTTGAAAAAGAATGAAGGTAAGATCATATGCGAAACCCTGTCTCTTGTCAAAACGTATTTTTGAGATGGGGACAATGTAAATATGGCCAAGTTTTCCTACCTCCATTTTCACTTCCCTTTCATTGTCATTAAATTAAAAATGCATGTCACAAAAATAATTAGAGATGAGATAGAAATACTCCAAATGGCAGATGGCCTCTATCAACAAAGTATATTTGAACACTGAATTCAGTAAGTAATGAATCTTTTTCTAGGGAATTGTCTCTGTATTTGTCTATGCTGTACTCAAACATAAGTTTTGGAGAGTCATGCTACACTTCACAGTGGAACACTGTGTGATGAAAGGAAAAGGCAAACATTTACTTAATGAATTGTAAACACTACTAAAAAATTGCAAAGTTCATAAACTATGGGGGTTTTAAGCTTTCTTATTTTCATATTGTCTAAGTTTTGATTTGGCTCCCCACCAAGAACCCAAGACCCAGCACAAAAAGCTCCGGCAAAGAGCAAAAGAGAAAAAAAACTACGAAAAAAAACCCCAGACTAGCCGAACTATATTAAAATATATATGTATTTACGTATAGTACAGTTATATACAGTTGAAATACTATATACAACCCCAGAAGGGAAAGGGAAAGGGAAGGGGGGGAAAAGGGGACAAAACCAAAACAGATATGCACAATCAAAAACTCAGGATCTAGCAAACTAAAGAATTAGCAAAAGAATATCTTACTACTTTCCTTGGGACAACAGAAATCGTGCTGAACGACCGCCGGCACGCTGCCGGACCCGGGGTTGGCAGAAACAACAGGCCCTGTAGGCCCAGCCAGGCCTCAGCTCCCCCACAGGAGTGAGACCGACCTGCGGAGTCTGCTGTCTCCAAACCTCGTGGAAGGGAAGAGAGGAAGGGGCTTCTCTCTCCGTCTATCTATATGTTTGGTTACGAAAAGGAATAGGATGGAATACTTCCTTCCTTCCTTCCTGGCAACCAGGAAGGAAGGCCTAAACTCAAAACCATTACACATATCAAGTTCCTAACATGACTACATTCTTTGTTCTTTATTAGAGTAAAGATTCTGTTTGGTTTCAATTAATTTTTCATTAATAGTTAACACAAATATTGTCAAGAAGGAGACCTGGCAAATGGATACCCAAGAAAATTCTTTTATCATGAGGAATTAGTTTCAAGGGTTAAGGCTGTTTATTTCTCTGTGCCGTAACATTTATTTACATGTTTTTTCCAATCTAAACAAAATCAAGCACTCTACATGTCCAGTTCCAGCAAAAACCTGAGTACACTTTTCCAGTAATCCAGTAGTGATTCTCTGGTTCATATTTGTAGAAGACTCACTTCTGAATTAAAAATTCTTGGAAACAGTATATTTGCTTAGTAACTTAGTGCTGATACACTGCCGTAGTTCTAGGTCCAGGCAAACAGAGGTGCTGCTTTAAATGCAGTTTGTAAATTTATACCTCAACTATTTGCATGTAGGACATCAGGGCTGTCACTTGAATTTGCACGTGGAATAAAATGAAAAGCATCATTTGTAGAACAGGTCAAAAAAGGCAATCAAATAATCTGTTTTAGTCAGGAAAACACATAGTTTTTATGGTTTCCTATAAAACTGGAGTGTCAGACATGCAGGACATTAGCATGTCGAAGTATTTAAACTGTTATCACAATGAAGTGCTTTATTAGTTGATGGAAATAAAAAGTGGAATAAAACAAGAGAAAACTCTTTTCTAAAATGTAGTTTGGACTCTTAATTTCCTCTAGATGACTAGCAGGAATTTTACTGACAAAGCACTTTGACATAGTTTTGTAAGTATTCCTCTTGAAATCAGAGAGGCTGGTTAGCAGGACTCTGAAGAAATAATAATGCCCTGTGTACCCTGCATTATAATGCAGGGAAAATTGAAGATTCATGTAGCTTTCAAATTGGCTTGGTCTCAGAGCATGGAACCAGGAGTACTGTTTATGGTCAATACTTAACAACTCTTTCTACCTTTCATTGTGATTCTGCGTTAGGTTCTGTGTCAGCACTGCCAGAAAAAAAGTATATATTTCTACATGTGTTTCATGGAGACACCACACTTTCATAGGATTTGCTTTTGAAAGATCAAAGGTCTGCGTGGTATGCTTTTAAAGGAATTTTTACAGACTTGAGGATTAGAAAAGTTCTTATATTATTAGTAAATGTATTTCAAGAGTAGTGGTGTATGGGTTTTGAGCTAATTGAGCTTGTGCCTAAACCGTTGGTTATAGATATGTGCAGCATAATATAATTATTATTTAAAAAGCAGTGAAGTATTATGAGGTGTTATACATTTTAGATCCATTTATCAAGTGTGCACTCTGACAATCTTTTCTCCATTTCTTCATTAGTATCTATTCTTGGTACCTCCTAAAGTTTATACTGCAAGTGAAAATATTTAGTGTGTTTCAGGACTTTTAAAGAAGAAGAAAACAGTTCATTTGATATTGCATGCAAGTGTTTCAGAGCTGTGCTTCTCTGCCTCCAGGTTGTAGAGAAAGGGGCCTGTGGGAGTGTCCTTTGAAGAAGCTGTGCATCAAACACACTATGATCTGTGATGGTTTCCCAGACTGCCCTGACATGATGGATGAAAAGAACTGCTGTAAGGACTTATGCAGTTTATTAGTCCCATAAAGGGCTAATCACATTTTTGGGATGTAGGGTGCAAAATAAATGAAAGTAAAAATGTTTCCACATATAGAAAGGCTTAGTCATTTCCTCAGTTTCCTTTTAAGTTTTTCTATGGCACCAATTTGTCTCTTTCCTCATCTTGTGTCCTCTGTTGTTCTCATACCTGGATCCTTGCTGTCCCTTTGGTCACTCTGGTCCTCCCTATTTTTTATTCTCTCTCTCCCCCTCCTTGGTTTTATGTCTTTGTACTTCTTTTCTTTATTCCTTGTAGCCTTTTGACTCCTTTTCTCAATGTTTCTCAGTGTTATTCCATGCAGGCATAGCTACTCGCTGCTCTTTTTTTCTTGATTTCTACTTGATTTTCCTTCTGATCTCTTCATCGGTAAATTTCATATGTTTCACTTCTTTATTTGATTTCCCTTCTGATTGACAGTTCTTAGATTCCATCTCCCCACGTGGCTCCAAAGACTTCTGCAATCTGAACCGTAATAACTGTCAAGGTACAAAACTTAGTATGGTACACTGATGGCATGGGCACACTGTCCGTGTGCACAGTGTAAGCAGGCTCAAAGTGCTGACAGGGTGCAACAGGCTCCCTGGTCCACTGCAGGGCTGTCCTGTGCTCTCTTGCCACCGTGCCACTGACTA